CAGAACAGACAGGAGACAGTTGTGGCAGCACTTGATCTTGAGGATGCCTACAATAGTCAAATAAGATATTTTTATTTCTGCACTCATGGAGAATTGGGTTTGTCCTTGGTTTGTGAACTGCATAGCAGCTGTCCTCCATTCACGTATGGTAGCCCTTCACCTGGGTACATGGACCTCAGAACGATGTAATATCGCCCCAGGACTACCCCAGGGTTCTGCAATTTTACCAGTGCTCTTTAAGATTGCAGAACTTGGAGCACCAGGTGTTGGAAGAATATTGACATTTGCCGATGATGTTCTTGCATATAGGCAGGGGAGAGATAGGCGTCGGATAGCTCACGAGCTACAAGCAACTGTGGACATAGTGACTGTCTGGTGTGCAGAAATGGGTACTGTCATCAACTCAGAAAAGGCGGCTGTTTTGTGGTGTTCTCTGGACAATAGAATTGTAAAAGCTGGCGTTCCAAACCTCACAGTTCATAACAGTAACATCAGATGAGAAAGCAAACTGAGATACCTGGGTATTATTTTTTTTAGAAGCCTGTCCTTCAGGGATCGTACGGATGCAGTTGCAGTGAAATGCCAAAAAGGACTCAATGCTTTCAAGATTATGGCAGCAATGGACATGAAACTAAGAATGTTGTTCACAATGTTCCAGCATGTGATTCTGTCGGTGGTAGATTATGGACTTGGCATGCTTACCATATCAAAGAGTCAGCTGATGAAACTTGAAAACATACATAATGAAGCCATGCGGGTGATTCTGGGATGTACAAGAGATACCCCGGTAGTATATATGCGATATATACTTGCACTGCCTACTAATGCAGATAGGCTCTAAGTTCTGCAAGCAAAGTCATATCTCAGAGTTGCTGCGGACAAGAGGCACCTCCTGCATGAAGCCCTAGATAGAGCTAAGGGTCACAGACTGAAAAGAGGAAAGTCTTGGATGACGCAAGCTGAAGACACAATTCGACATGTGTGCAGGTTTGATAAATTTAGGTGAGGAGAGGAGTGGGTCAAAGTGTCCGATCATGTTTCAGACTTGTGTAGGGTTCTAATCACTTTGGGACGTGAGTGCAGGGACTGGCCAGCTGGTGCTGCAGAATCAGAAGTTCAACAAATGGTTCATGACAATTCCTGCCCAAGTGATGTGATTGTATATACAGATGGCTCTGTGGTGAGAGGCAGACCAAGTGCATGGGGGTTCATAGCGAAGGCGAATGGACGTCACTTGGCGCAACAAAGCCTGGCATATGATATCACAACGTCTAGTTTGAGAATGGAGGTGGAGGCAGTCACTGCTGCCTTCCGTTGGCTTGAGAATCATCTGTACCCACACGTAATTGTAAACGACTCACAGAGCATGCTGAGAAAGGTGGAGACAGGCATGCTCCGTTCAGAGTGGCAAGCCTCACTTCAGAGGTCCCGGGTTGTTAGCATCCTTTGGATATTTTCTCCAGGTTATGCTGGTGTGTTGGGAAATGAGCAGGCGGATAGACTGGCCGGTTCTGCACCAATTGGTGGTTAACTGATATATGACAAGCTGGATGTTGTGAGGGCCCTTTGGGAGCGAGTGAACAGTGCCGAGGAACAGATAGATCAATACGGTCTGAGGAGAATGGCACTGCGAGGAGTTACAATGGGATCTGGCCAAGACGGATATACAATCAGACTGTTACTGGTACCATCAGAATTTTAACTCTTTGCTTGCTGCTGAAGATGGGGATGGAGCATTATGGGAGTGTCCCGAGTGCTGTGATGTCAATTCTTAATTCAACATTCAGCATTTGTACTGTATGTATTATGTTGAACAGCATCCTTGAATGGGATAGTTGTGTTTGGGAACCTATTCACAGGGGATAATTATGCTCTGTCATTATGTGGATCCTCTGTACACCTTATTAGGGAATATCTTTGGAGATTCCAATCTTTAAGAAAAAAAGTGCAATAGTGCGTCCAATTGGGGAAGTTCTATCTTGTGGTGAGGAACCTAAGTATTCTTGTTAAATTTAACAGTGATTTATTTACTGTAATCCCTATGGGACAAAGAATGGATGTTATCCAGATTGTGTTAATTTGTTACATGGATGTTATCCAGATTGTGTTAATTTGTTACAGGGATGTTATCCAGATTGTGTTAATTTGTTACAGGGATGTTATCCAGATTGTGTTAATTTGTTACAGGGATGTTATCCAGATTGTGTTAATTTATTACAGGGATGTTATCCAGATTGTGTTAATTTGTTACAGGGATGTTATCCAGATTGTGTTAATTTGTTACAGGGATGTTATCCAGATTGTGTTAATTTGTTACAGGGATGTTATCCAGATTGTGTTAATTTGTTACAGGCATGAAGCTGGTGCTGGAAATGACTGTTCTCACTTTTCAGGAGTTTGAGGCTGGAGATTTCAGGCTGTCCTATTCAAGAGAATGGCAAGACTCTGCAGCAGCACCGCGTTCTGATGCTAATAATGCCTGGCTTACTCTGCAAGGGACTGTATTTAATGGCATGAAATAGAACCCAGTCTTATCTGAAAGAGATGCAGAAACTGGATCCTGAGCCCGGGGCTGATTGCAGTCTAGTCTACCAGAAGCTATTGTGGTGTAAGAGGCTGTCCAAATCAAAGAGGTAGAACCTAGACCCGGAACCTATGGACTGTGTACCTTGGTGCCAGTCTACACTTTGCAAGGAACTGGATGTGCAGCATGATGGATAAGTCACTCTGTCTAATCCAATAGACAGAAACTATCCTGAACTCAAGGACTTCACTAAGGTCTACAATGTGATCTCAAATTACTGTACCACCAGTTACCTACAAGTGATCCATAAGAGAGCAGAACCTGAACGCATGGGAGGATTGCCTCAATGCCAGTACCTTATCTGGCTTTCTCTGCTGTTTGTGTACATTTTTCAGTCAGATTCAAGACAAGAGCAGAACTTGGAACCTGAATCTGCTGACAGTGTTCAAAGGACAATAGCATGCCTGTTCATGATGATTCAACGTGAATCTGACCCACGTAAGGAGTGATGCCATTCTTATAAGTCTATTCCTCTCCTAAAAAGACCTGTCACATCTATTATTATTTCTTGTGATGGACCCACTCACTCACCTATGTCTATCTGGTTCTAGTGTCAGGACTAGTTTAGACACCTGGAGATGAGATCAAGTACAATAACCAGGGTATTGTTTGTGCCTCACTGAGCTCTTTGTGCACCACAGCATGTTGCTGGTACTTGCGGTCAGATCCACTGAGCCAGGTATTTATTTCTTTAGCATGTTCAGCAGAGTCCAGGCTGCATTCTTGGATAGGCAAATCCTAACTCATCAAAGGCTACTAACTGTTTGACTACCCTGACCTGGTTAGGTGGCCTGTCAAAGTCAATGGCCGAGGGGTGACCCCTGCTGCATGCTGGCAGCCACAGTTGAGAGCTGAATGCCAGGCTTGGCCCAAAAGCTCCTGGAAAGGACATAGGAATGCACCAACACCAATGGTACTATTAATAACTGGCAACCCAAACCCCTGAATGATCATGAATCTGCAACATTGACTAAACTGTGAGGCCCAGTGTGCTCTATAAAGGGTGACAAAGAATAGACTTCTTTTCTCATGTAATTCCCATCCCCACATTAGACTACAAGTTGTCTTGTAACCGTAAGAGTGCCCTGTGTGGTTTAGGGTTTCTGGGATTTGCTACTGTCTACTGAGGTACTTAGAGGTACAGTTAACTCAGAGCACACCTCTGGTCTTCTCATTGACTCTGCCACATGCGATTATTGTGCACAAAAGCAAACTAGACATGACTTACAAACTGCCCAGACTATTCATGTCAGAGACTAAGTCTGGCACACAGGAGCAACCCTGCAAGATAAACTATGAGACACTGGGGGGATTTTAAGCACCCTATCCTGTTATTATGACCCATTATAAAATTGATGCACAGCAAAGGTTGATCACCAACAAAGTAACTTTAATATTTTCCTTTGTTATAAATAATTTTCTTGAGTGCTGTAAATGTCGATATAGCTTATTGTAAAAAGTACAGTAGACTGCAGTATCTGGCCTAATGTGGGAGAAGCGAAGGCTGGTTATATGGGAGTTGTATAAATACTCAGTTTCTTACACTTTTTACTGCAATATTAGCTCAGTAACAGGCAAGCCTTTTCCTCTTGACTGTTCATGCCACACAAACAAAGCTTCAACTACCTTACGTTTACCTCTCTCTATCATTTTTCTTACTTCCACTAGACTGGGAAGCACTCCACTTTTCAATTTCTGCTCAGTTGGTCTTCCAATCTCCAATTGTACCTTTCCCATCTTTAGTGAGATAGTTTTTGCTGTTACCCTAGAGTCCATTCGTCCAGTCACCACAATCTTTTTTTTTTTCATTTATCACCTATTTAGTATCTTTCATTCAACAAAATAATGGACACGAGTGAACAATTTGATAAAGTAACCAGGAACCTCCGCATTCACTGCAGTGGATGACTATTTTGCAAGATATAGTAAGAAAAAGGTAAATTTATCACTGCATCTTTGTTTGTTCAATTACAGCAAAGGAATGGACTCAAGAATCTGGAGACAAACCTCAAAATTAATGACAATATGTGAGGGGGGAGGCAAAGATAAATAACCTGATGGCTTGGCCACATGCATGAACACTGACCTGATCTGTGATATTGATGTTCATCTACGATAACAAATCATTACTGCCTATGGCAAGGCACATGGTAATGATTATATTTCAATTTTCTGTTAAAAAGGGAGTGATGGGTTTGGAAAGCTTTGGGCTGTCTGCTTGTTCATCAACATTCATTTATGTCAGAGGGATGTTAGGCCCCAGATCCTAATTTAAAGCCTCTATGTATGGAAGGTTACTTTATTGTGCTTGCCTTCAGAAATTCACTTCCTCAAAAAGACTAAAACAAATGACTTAATGTAGTAATAATGAAACAGCAGTACTGTAAAGTTTTTTTAATATATAAATTTATTACAATCACAAATCAATTGATGGTTTTGACTTAAACTTTTTAGCTGCACGCTCTCCAGGTTTCACTGTGAACTGGTTTCCATAAATTGTGAAAACATGATTGTGCAGAACAACACAGAAGACACTGTTGGCTTTGGGTATCCCTGAAAGTTAAAAAATAAATATATGCAGTGTTAAGTCATAACAAATCTGCATTTATCTACACAAAATAGGCAGCAATATTTTCAACAGCTCAGCTATACAATTATTAAAAGTTAAAGGAATGAGAAGATATAATACCTTTATTTCTGAAAGTCAGAGCGTCATGATATGCTAAATTAGCTTTCAAATCTGAAGCTCAGGGCCTAACCTGTGTTTTATACCATTTACCATCAGGCATATTTAAATTTCAGTTGTCATGTAATAACAAAAACACTGTCTGCCAGGGCAAGCAGCCTAAACTCTCAACACAAGTCTCCAGAGAAGGTACACAATCTAGGGCAAGCAGCCTAAACTCTCAACACAGGTCTCCAGAGAAGGTACACAATCTAGGGCAAGCAGCCTAAACTCTCAACACAAGTCTCCAGAGAAGGTACACAATCTAGGGCAAGCAGCCTAAACTCTCAACACAAGTCTCCAGAGAAGGTACACAATCTAGGGCAAGCAGCCTAAACTCTAAACACAAGTCTCCAGAGAAGGTACACAATCTAGGGCAAGCAGCCTAAACTCTCAACACAGGTCTCCAGAGAAGGTACACAATCTAGGGCAAGCAGCCTAAACTCTCTACACAGGTCTCCAGAGAAAATACATAATCTAGGGCAAGCAGCCTAAACTCTCAACACAGGTCTCCAGAGAAGGTACACAATCTAGGGCAAGCAGCCTAAACTCTCAACACAGGTCTCCAGAGAAAGTACACAATCTAGGGCAAAAAGCCTAAACTCTCAACACAGGTCTCCAGAGAAGGTACACAATCTAGGGCAAGCAGCCTAAACTCTCAACACAAGTTTCAAAAGAAGGTACACAATCAACCAAAATGGCACATTTTTTAACAAATGTTTAAAATCATGTAAGAGATTTTCATGATACTCTGCAACTATATCAACAAGGCCCCATGGATTTTGTTGATAGAAATATCAGGCAACGGAAGGCCAGCATGGAAGGGGAATGAGATGTTCTACAAATATCTGTCAGTGAAATCGCCAGCACTAGTGATCAGCAGGTCCTTTCTAGCACATCACTCTCATGATGACAAAGTCTCTCTTTCTCCAACTAATTCTCTAGCCCTATGTGCTTTCATAGCCAATTCATCTTAAATATCTTGTATCCACCTTCATGAAGGTCTGCCTCTGCTTCATTTTCCAAAAACTCCAGGCCACCATGTCATTTTAACATGGCCAAAATATCTCAACTCTTACTTCCCTTGGTTAATTCCCATCACTTTCTTTTGCTTACCATCATCCTAACGCCTATTCTGACTGCAGTATAGTATTGCAGAATCAATGACTTTCAAGTGGTAATACAGGACAAGTTTTACTATAAGGACCTGTGCAGCTGGTCCAGGAAACCAGAGAAAATTGAAGTTGACAGCAATAGCCTTTCCTGGTGTCTGAAAGAGTAAGGCACTCAAAGAGCAGGTGCCAGGTGCTTCATAAGACATCACATACCAGGGATCAACATAGTTCTGGGGCTCCTCACATAAGACATCACATACCAGGGATCAACATAGTTCTGGGGCTCCTCACATAAGACATCACATACCAGGGATCAACATAGTTCTGGGGCTCCTCACATAAGACATCACATACCAGGGATCAACATAGTTCTGGAGCTCCTCACATACCAGGGATCAACATAGTTCTGGAGCTCCTCACATAAGACATCACATACCAGGGATCAACATAGTTCTGGAGCTCCTCACATAAGACATCACATACCAGGGATCAACATAGTTCTGGAGCTCCTCACATAAGACATCACATACCAGGGATCAACATAGTTCTGGAGCTCCTCACATAAGACATCACATACCAGGGATCAACATAGTTCTGGGGCTCCTCACATAAGACATCACATAACAGGGATCAACATAGTTCTGGGGCTCCTCACATAAGACATCACATACCAGGGATCAACATAGTTCTGGGGCTCCTCACATAAGACATCACATACCAGGGATCAACATAGTTCTGGAGCTCCTCACATACCAGGGATCAACATAGTTCTGGAGCTCCTCACATAAGACATCACATACCAGGGATCAACATAGTTCTGGAGCTCCTCACATAAGACATCACATACCAGGGATCAACATAGTTCTGGAGCTCCTCACATAAGACATCACATACCAGGGATCAACATAGTTCTGGGGTTCCTCACATAAGACATCACATACCAGGGATCAACATAGTTCTGGGGTTCCTCACATAAGACATCACATACCAGGGATCAACATAGTTCTGGGGTTCCTCACATAAGACATCACATACCAGGGATCAACAGTTCTGGGGCTCCTCACATAAGACATCACATACCAGGGATCAACATAGTTCTGGGGCTCCTCACATAAGACATCACATACCAGGGATCAACATAGTTCTGGGGCTCCTCACATAAGACATCACATACCAGGGATCAACATAGTTCTGGGGCTCCTCACATAAGACATCACATACCAGGGATCAACAGTTCTGGGGCTCCTCACATAAGACATCACATACCAGGGATCAACATAGTTCTGGGGCTCCTCACATAAGACATCACATACCAGGGATCAACATAGTTCTGCAGCTCCTCACATAAGACCATCAATGAATTAATGAGCCAAGAACTGATATCACTGCACTCAGGACATTCCCACATGTGCTTTGTTTCCTTTCTCAGAAGCCAATCAAAAATAGTGCCAGCTGCAATCTGATCTGGTGTGCCAATGCCCCCCTCCCCACCACAACCATTGCTTATCACCCGCTGAATGAGTCTTTCATGGTATGGATACTCTGTTCAGTTGCACTATTCACTTGATCCCAGAGAGCCTTCGCCAACATCTATGTGGTTGCTTCTCCGTGTGCCAGACCCAAACTTGAATAGTTTGTCACAAAAGTCTTTTTTAAAACTTCCTATTCTGCTCATACATTTGCTGTAACTGACAGGCATGCACCACTACAATGGATCTTCATTTCCCAATGTTGAATTAAGAATTGACATCACAGCACTTGGGACACCCCCATAAGCGCTCTATCCCCATTTTCAGCAGCAAGCAAAGAGCTAAAATTTCGATAGTGCCAGTAAACGTCTGATAGAATATCCGTCTCGCCTTTCCCCTGAGTGTCGGCCAGATCCCATTGTAACTCCTTGCAGGGCCATTTTCCTCAGACCATAATGATCTATCCGTTCCTCGGTACTGTTCACTTGCTCCCAAAGGGCCCTCACAACATCCAGCTTGTCATACATCAGTTCACCACCAAGTGGTGCAGAACCAGCCAGTCTGTCTGCCTGCTCATTTCCCAACACATTCCCTAATGAATTTTAATAGCTTTCACACCTTCACCGATTTAAAATAAAAAGGATAACAACGCTGCTACTCTTTGGTGCATGTCAAAAGTGAGATAGCCATCTTTAAACTGTCATGACATTAGCGTGTTCATCTGCAACATGTCATGACAATGACCATGCCATTGTCATTTATATCAGACCTGAAGCTCTCTAGAGTGTGTGTGTGCGCGTGCGTGCGTGCGTGCGTGTGTGTGTGTGTGTGTGTCATTTACTCTATGTGTGACTAGACAGTGCAATGTTCTTAATGCATGAACTCACAGACACACACACACACATCACTAAGTGATAACCTGAAAGGGGCAAACTGCACTGCACTGTTTATTCACAAGCCTACAGAGTGTGAATGCCATGACAAAGAAATAAATGTCTCCAGCTCACTGAATCTTAACTACAGCTTATCAACAATAAGCATCTGAGCATCTGTTTCTTTTGCCCACCTGTGCAAACAGTCTTCTCCGGTATTATGAGGGGAAGTCAATAAATAAGTCACAAATGGTTATGGAATGGCAGGAAAATGTAGTTGGTGGTTTCTAAAGGTGACAGCAACATCAAACTTTATGTCTACGTCACTAGGTGTTGCATGTGCATACCCAACACAGAAACAAAACAGTGACTGTACTTATGGAGAGTACCTTCAAAAAACCAGATGGAAGGGGGGGGGGGGGGGGGGGGGGGGGGGGGGGGGGTTGCAAAAGGGCTGCCTGCAGATATAAGGAAATGCTTCAAGTTTTTACTGACAAATGTTTGTCTCGTTGAGCATGCTTAGCTGGGTTTTTTTAAAATCTCAAGGACCCTCTAAAATTGTTGATGAAGTCCGATCTGGTTATTTTACTGAGATTGCAACAGACGCATCCGTGCAGCAGGTGGAGGAGATTAGAGGTGACAGACAAGTAACTGTTGACTCTATAGCAGCTGCAATAGGGCGTTCACATAGTTTAGCATATAACTTAGCGCCTAGCAATTTTCACCTTTCTGGTCCACTGAAAATCCACCTTGGCAGGAGACATTTCGCGAATGATGCAGAAGTTTAACGTTACGTGAAAATGTCGTTTAGAAAACAGCATGCAGTTCTATGCAGCAGGTTTGGGAGGACTGATAAAACGATGGGACAAGTGCATCAATGTTGGTGGAAATTATGCTGAAACACAGACAGTATGTGTAAAAATAAATGGTTTTCAAGTTGTTATCTTCTTTATTTTTTACAACCATTTGTGACATACTGACTGCCCCTCTTATTTCTAAGAACATGGCTGTTCCTACAACACTAACTCTGCTGAGGCCCCTTCAGTGGCTTGCTGCCGACTTTCTAATTTCTCAGTGGGTCAAAGCAATCAGAAACCACTGCAAAGCTAAACTGATGGAGTAGGGTGTGACACAGGTGTGTCACAAAGCTGCCTGCCAGAAATCCTACCACAGAGATATCCCTGCTCCATATGAACAGTTTCAAAACTAGCATGGTACCATAGTAAAAATTAAGCGCCATTTGACTTTAGGTCGAAAGCCAAATGAAATGCAAGTGTCCCATAGTCGATACTGCTAGGGTAGCAAGTTCCCTTCTTGATTAACACACCTGCTCCGCCAGAACATTCTGGAAATAGGGCTAAACTACTGATGTAATTATGCAATGGTCAGTCTTATGGCAAAAGGCTCTGCTTCACAGTCTGTATAGTTGTAACATGCAGCTGCCTCACAGGTAAACTAGAGTCAGTTACAAGCTGGGGAAAGCAAACGTGATAAACGACTTTCACTGAAATGAACTTACGTTTGACACTATTGTATGGTGTTACCAGTACAAACAGGTTCCTGGTTTCCTGCAGTACAATACCCTGCACACCAATGAAGCTGGGACATTTGGATCTCTTCACTGTGAGAAAGCTCCCGTGTAAGTCAGCCTTCATCATCTTCTGGGCAGCATTTGATAAACTGGCTTCTGTCAAACTGGACAGACAAAATACAACAAATATTTTACATGTAATGACAAAAAAAATAATTCAACAGCTTAACTCTTTAAGATCCGAGCAACGGTGTGAGTGTTGATTGAGAAGTTCTGTTTTGCCCAAACAACGCTGTCAGCGTTAATCGTGTGTCCCGTACATACTGCTTCGCACACCGCTCCGTACTTGTTTCTAACGTTGGAAACTATGATTAAATTATTCAGGGAGACACTACTATTCTATGGCTAAGCTACATTAAAATCATTGCAGCTACAGTCTGTATATAACTAAACAAAGTAAATAGTGTAATGGCCCATTTCTCGACCATTTTTTCTCTGAAATTTTGCTTAGCACTCTGTGAGAACTAAGAACCCCTGAGTGTTAAACTAACCCAGAAATTTATCATAACTTTGGAATTTGTTAGGAAATTGAACAACTTTGAAGTTTTGTTCTCAAATTTGGATATTCACTACTCTTGTGGCTGCAAAATCTTGGTAAGTGAAGAATTTGTTTGTAAAATGTGAAATTAACACCTGCTGAATTCTTTCCTACTAACTGTAAACAACCGGCGTAATGCTGACCACATTACCCACCGAGTGCCGATTGGTCTGTAAAAATATGGGTGCTCTTCCCATATGCCCAATGCGCCTAAGGGGGTGTAAAGGGATCTTTACTTTTTTCTTTACTTAACTATAAACAAATAAAACACACACCTATCATCAGATTCAAAATGTACATTCATTCTCTTTAAAAAATATATATATATACTTTTACTGGGATTAGAAGTATATTACATTCTCTATTACCTTTCTTGTACACCACCACCTATGCCATTTTTGTAAAGAAAAATTAATGTGGGCCAAGTCTATCAAAATTCATGGGCCTGAAAAAGTTAACAGACCAAGAGAGAAGTGTTAAAAACAGCTTGGCATCTTAGCATGGAGAAACATATGTATCAACAATGACCGGTGGTAATATTACAGAAGGCCAGAGGTAAGGCATGATTAATCTGCACATAAAAGAAATAGCAGATAACGATTACACTGGAGAGGGTATTAGATAATGTATTTCTCATCGCTTGGCTGTTGAATCTAAATGCACAGCCAGTTCTAGTAACATCAGTTTCTGCACCAGTGGTGTGAGCATACTGTAATAAATAGTAAACAATGATAATAAATAGTAAAATAATGCACTTCTCTTTGTCAATATAAAATTTAAGTGGCAATTACAGCCTAGCCATGCAGAAGTGGCAATTACAGCCTAGCCATGCATAAGTGGCAATTACAGCCTAGCCATGCAGAAGTGGCAATTACAGCCTAGCCATGCAGAAGTGGCAATTACAGCCTAGCCATGCAGAAGTGGCAATTACAGCCTAGCCATGCAGAAGTGGCAATTACAGCCGTCAAACGCGGGCCTAGCCATGCAGAAGTGGCAATTACAGCCGTCACACGCGGGCCTAGCCATGCAGAAGTGGCAATTACAGCCTAGCCATGCAGAAGTGGCAATTACAGCCTAGCCATGCAGAAATGGCAATTACAGCCTTGCCATGCAGAAGTGGCAATTACAGCCTAGCCATGCAGAAGTGGCAATTACAGCTTAGCCATGCAGAAGTGGCAATTACAGCCTAGCCATGCAGAAGTGGCAATTACAGCCTAGCCATGCAGAAGTGGCAACTACAGCCTAGCCATGCAGAAGTGGCAATTACAGCCTAGCCATGCAGAAGTGGCAATTACAGCCTAGCCATGCAGAAGTGGCAATTACAGCCTAGCCATGCAGAAGTGGCAATTACAGCCTAGCCATGCAGAAGTGGCAATTACAGCCTAGCCATGCAGAAGTGGCAATTACAGCCTAGCCATGCAGAAGGTTATGGACTGACATGATGACAACTCTTCACAGCATGCTCTTTCAGAAGAAGATATATACCTCACTCAATTCTTCTTCTTCTGCCTTTCTAGCCCCCAATCAAAAATAGGCCCTCAACCAACTCACGCCAAGTTGATCTATCCTTTGCTATGGCATGTAGCTATGGCACCTAGGTGGCGATAGGTGTCCCATGCACAAGCACAACGCAGACATAAACTGGCGACTGTGCTTAGGGGTGTACCCTCACACAACAAAGTGCTGCTGTGGGGTTTTTTTTTTTGGGGGGGGGGGGGGGGGGGGGGGGGGGGGGGCAAAAGAGCTGCCCACAAAGGACATAGGTACAGAAATGCTTCCTGTTTATGGTGACAAATGTTCAAACCATAAAGCAGTGCATAGCTGGGTAAAGAATTTTTCAAGGACTCTGTACAATTGTTGATGAAGTCTGATCCGGTCATCCTGTTGAGACTGCTACAGATGCATCCGTGCAGTGGGTGGAGAAGATGATTAGAGGTGACAGGCGAGTAACAGTTGACTCTGTAGCAGCTGCAGTAGGTGCTAACATGGTTTTTGGTCCAAATGAAAACCCATCTAAGAGAGACATTTCACGAATGAAGCATAAGTTGAATGTGAAGTGAAAATGTGGTTTAGAAAACAGAGCACAGTTCTATGCAGCAGGTTTGGAGGGACAGATAAAATTATGGGACAAATGCATCAATTTTGGTGGAAATTATGTTTAAAAATAGAGGGACAATGTATGTATACAAATTAATGGTTTTCAAGTTGTTATTATCTTGTTTTCTATGATTTCAAAATAAATATGAAGTTCTACAGCTTAATACTTGTAAATGGTGAGGTTCTAATGCAGACAGTCAACAGAAAAATGTGACAGCAATCAAACATTGGATCAGCTTCAGTTACGTAAGTGACACTCTGTAGTATAAGTCAAAGCAACACATTTTAAAGATACCTGGAAAAATGAAGAAGTTCTTCCATATATTTTGTCCACATTGCATTCAGCGGCAAATATGTCTCATATCTGAAAACAGTTAATGAGAACAAGATCAATTTAATTATAAACAAATATATGAGAGAATACAATTTCATAAGAGTAACTGAAAGGTAAACTAAGTATAAACATATGTTTTGTATCTTGAAAGAGCTAAATCAGAACAAAATGAGTAACAAAACATACAATATGGGCCATCTCAAATACAAAGGTCCTCAACATACACATCTCTTCAGACTGTAGTGTAGCGAACAGGATTTTTGTTGCAATCATGGTGAACAACCATAGAGTCGCTCCAAGGAATATACCATAAAAGTTGTGACCTGCTGCTCTAGATGGGGGGAAATGCAGGGCTGTTCTAACAACATTACAGACCCCTAGGAAAACCTGTGTGCTGGGGTCCCTACAACAACCAGTCACAGGAATGAAATGTAAATGGTCAATAATATTAAACATACATTTATTTGACTGGCACTTCAACAAACCCGGTGTTCAGTAAAATTTAGATTAGATAGCAGAGTATGAAATTACTATGAACTTATTGTAACATAATTGCTTTATCACTGGCTTGAAGTCAGTGGTCTTCAAGTGTCATTTTCCTTACACATTAGTAAAAGTTATTCAAAACGATGCTGCTCCATTGTGCTACCAAACAAATTTTAACTTGTTTGAGTCACAAGGAAGCATTGCGCACTAATCAGTTAGAATGAAGCCACCTAATCAGTGACGCACACTGGTTTTTAATTTACTACTGGCCAGTATAACAACATGGTTAAAAGCCTTATATTTGAATAAAACACATGTTTTTTTTCAGATTTATTCTAAGCTAGACAAAGAAAGTTATGAAGTAGGCTTGTTTCAGTCATTGAGAGAGTCAAATTTTGATTACGGACAGCTCTGATATATACCTCATGCAAGGTGTAGAGTTTTAACAAAGCTGGTACAAAAATAAATATTAGGGAAAACTGCAATTTCTTCATTGTCATTAGGTGTAGTGCGATTCCCATATTATTTGGGAGCACAGGCTATAAAATTACAGGCAAACTGAGTGTTATATAAGTTCATTTTTTTGTGTGAAAATACTAATTGTTTTTGGAAGGTATTTTTCATTCTTCTTTTCTCCTTGTATTCAGTAGCTTTTCACTGTAAGCTGATAGAGAATCCAGTGCATGTTTAATTTCTCAAAACTCCCATACAGAGCAAGCACACACACACAGCATCAAAATGTGCTGACCAAAAAAATTTTTCTCAAAGATATGTCAATACATTTCACTGATGGGTAGAAGCAGCAAAAAAAGGAATACAGATATGAACAAAGTCAAAGAATAGACAACCTTCTGCTGCCTTTACTTCCACCAAGTTCAGGCTGTGTCCAGCACAGGGAATAGAGCTGATAGATCCACACTTGCAATCCAGGAGACTGTCTAGACATATCTGAGGCATTATCATATGGCTGCCCATAACAATTTGATAGTGGAATCTTGTATTCATTAAACTCTTTGCTCCATGAGAAAAGATAGGGATGAGCATCAAAAACATTCCACAGGTTCAAAACCTTTAATGTATCAGGCAATCAATATCAGATCATCTGTATGTGAGATGCCTGGAATGGAGTCTACACTTACTGAATAATACGTTGACTCTTTTACTTCCTCAAGGGTAGTTCAGGGAACCTGTTGTACCATTAATGCAATAAATTCCTCACAAATATTGGCAGATGAATAAAACGGATTCCATTTTCAAGAATTTCAAGAGTTTTTCTCAAGAAATGGTGTGATAGAGAGAGAGAGAGAGAGAATGAGAAATATATTTCAGTTTTATATTGAACAGAATTAATTTAAGCCCAATTTATTTTTTTATCTATATCAAGCCACTTTACATACAGCGATTAGAATGGGACCCCTAGGGTCCATGGAGAAAAGATTAAAGTACCTCCCAGCCTATTAAAGAAAAAAACCAGCCGAATGTGATCTTTAATGCCCCCCCCCCCCCCCCCCCACAGCTAGGCAGTCATCTTCACCTAAATCTGTACAATGGACATTTGTTTAAAAAAATAATAAAGCTATTAAACATGTTTCTGCCTGAACTGACCTCTACTAACTCTTCACTTCTCCTCCGCAAGGCTATCATAAGAACATGTACAAGTGAGAACAGGTGTAACCAATTTACTGGTGATAAAAATCCACTAATGAAAACATGTTTAAAGAAATAGAAATACTGCTTCTCTCAATCTTCAGTTCATCATATGCAATCCTCAGATACTGTTCAAACCGGATGGACATTCTCAAATACAAGAATGAAAACTTGACTAACCCAAGTGCTATGGCAATTCTCAAATACAAGAATGAAAACTTGACTGACTAACCCAAGTGCTATGGCAATTCTCAGATAAAAGAATTAAAACTTGACTGACTATAACCCAAGTGCTATGGCAATTCTCAAATACCAGAATGAAAACTTGACTGACTAACCCAAGTGTTATGGCAATTCTCAACTACAAGAATGAAAACTTGACTGACTAACCCAAGTGCTATGGCAATTCTCAAATACAAGAATGAAAACTTGACTTAACTAATCCAAGTGCTATGGCAATGGAATTATACATGATTAAATAAATTGGTGGACTTATGCTCCAAATTATAATCTTAACTAATTTTAACAATGAAAATAGAGAGAATTCTGGAGATATACATTTTAACAGTGTACCATTTATTTTATGAGCTTTGAAAATAATTAACTCTCTTCCCCTCACTTCTCTTTGTTCCTCCTACTTTCCTATTGATTAATTCATTATTTCCTCTTGGAACTTCTGCCCCCAAGTTTCTTACTCATGTAATTAAAATGCATAAAAGACTTTCTTTAACACAGCCAGCATATTCGTCACCCAGTCAGAAAGCAGGTTTCATGATCACTAGGTCAGCAAGTATATTATACACAAAGATTTTCCAGAAAAATTAAATAGATTAAACTCAAAAAACCAGGCTGGTGAAGCAAAACACTGGTGATAATTTCAAACACATTTTTTTTAAAGAAAACTTCAAACACTGTCAGGTAAAAATAAATATACATATAAACGAGGTGAAATAAACAAATCAATAACAGTATATCCAAATAAATCTGTAATAATAAAATATTGTAACCCACTGAATGCCCACGACGCACAATATGCGAGGAGGCGACGTTTACTTCTTGCTGAAACGTCGCACACTTTGCGATGATAGGTTTGGACGCTCCCCATCGTTAAAATCGTGATTTTTTCAATGAATTTGGGTGAAGCCTTTAGCCCGTTCATTTCTCTATAATAACTGTTCATGTCTCCTATTAATTAAGGGAAACAACTTCGTAGTGTTTATAGTAAATTTCTTATGAATTTTCATTGTTAGCTCCCATGTCGGTGGGATATTGACTACATTTTCATCATGGCGCCCAATTCTTGGAACCCATCGTGGTGGTCATATTTTTCATTTTTCTGATAATGCAAGTGATTTTTTTTTTTTTTTGCTTCAAAAAGTGAATCTGAAGACACTACTAAACAGTTTGATGGCTTTGATTTTTAATAAATTTAACCAAGTGCCATTCAAAACATCGTCAGTCGACTAAGAAACGACCGCATGCCGTTTCAAAGCCAAGACTAACAAAGACTCGACCAAAACTGTCGGCTGCAAGCACTAGTGCAGCAGTTTATGATACTGATGGTTTTTGTGAGAGTATTCAGTCAGAGCCTGCAGATTATAAAGATTTTGAGCCTGAGCCTGCAGATGACGAAGATATCATTGCCGCTTTTGATGCAGAATCATCATCATCTGACGAAAGGTTTGCCCCCCCCCCCCCCCCCCCCCCCCCCCCCCACCCAACTGGTTGCTGACTGGTTTTGTTATTTGGAAGGCTTTTCTGAAGTACCCCCATTTACTGGCACTTCAGGTTTATGTCTGCCAGAAGAAACAAATGAACCACTGCATATTTTTGATATTTTCTTCACTAAAGAAATTCTTTAGTGTTTGCTAAACAAACAAACCGCTATGCTGAGGCAAAGACTGCTTGAAACCAGACAGTTATTTTGCCAAGAACTGGAAACACACAACCCTAAATGAAGTGAGAAAGTGTTTTGTACTGTTGCTACACCTGGGCTGTCACACTGACTACTGTAGAATGGAACTATGACAGTTGGAACTGTTCATGATACAAGAAATGGCATGCCCAAGGATTTAGCCGCTCAAACACTAAGTCCAGGAGAGACATCATTTAGAAGGCAGGGAAACCTCACTGTACTTAAATGGAAAGATAGACGAGAAGTCAGTCTAATCACCACAGTCCACAACCCTTCCACAGTGATTGAAGTTCAGACTAGAACTAGAAGGCAGATAAAATCTGAAGCCATCAATGATTATTCCCATAATATGTCAAAAGTTGACATCAGTGACCAGTTGCTGGCTTATGTTCCTCTTAGACGCCGTTCTCTGAAATGATGGCGGAAATTATTTTGTCATTTGTTTACTCTTACAGTTATTCAGAGAAATTATTGCAAAATAGGAAGCAACCTCTGTAAAATGTTTTTTCACGGCTGGGCACAGCTCTCACCCTGGATTATTTCAGCAAAAAAAGAGAGCAGCAACACCTTTAGCTCCTAAAAAAAGTGTGGGGACCTTGAAGCGTCTGACAGACACTTTCGTTCTCCAATTTCACCAACAGCTTTAAACTCAAAACCCAGAAGGTGCACAGTGTGTGTACAATAAATAAATGTAGAAATCCAGAAAATAAAAAGGGCCACAAAGGAACCATGACAAGTTACTGGTGCAGGGAATGTCAGGTGTCACTTTTTACTAAACAATGCTATGAACTGTACCATAACACTGACAAATTTTGGCTGTAAAATTAGATAAATGTGAGTGGTATGTATTGTTTTTGTTTTTGTTGCATTGGTATTCAAATGAACACCATTTTCTAAATTGACAAAACAGCCAAATTTTATGTTTTATATGTCATGAAATTTAGTCTATATAATATATTGCTGTCAGATAACAGATTATTCGGTTGCATTTTTTTTTGCACCAACCATGTCTATAGCCACATGATGATGTCAAACAATATAAATACACTTTTTTCTTGAGGTTTGTTATTACAGTTATCTATTTAATTTGGTGTAAAAATACAGTGAGTGATCTTGAACAGTTGTGAAGCTATGACATTTTTTAGTCTGTATCGTTGTCAGACAGATTTTCAGTTGCCTTTTTTTTTTTCACCAGTCTATAGCCACATGATGATGATGCTGTCAGACAAAGTTAACCCCATTTTTTTGTGTCTTCAAATGTGTTCTCACTTCAATTCTGTGCACACACAAAAAGAATGATAAATGTTTGTTGAATATTTATGAAGATATGACATTTTTGTTAATCTATATTGTCAGATCAAAGATTTTTGGTTGCCCTTTTTTTTTTTTGTACAGCAAACTACAGCCACATCATGATGATGCAAAACAAAATAAACAACCTTTTTCTTTTTGAAATGTGTTCTTCATTCAATTTGGTGCAAAAATTCAGAATATTGTGAGAGTATGTCAAATGGTGGGAGTCGCTGTGGCCGAGCGGCTAGACACTCGTCGAGGATCGGAAGGTCATGGGTTTGCACCCTGGCGGAGCCTGACTTTTTTTCAAAAATGACCTTGGCTCCCAGGTCGACCCAGCCTTGAGTGGGTATCGGGTGCAGTCCCGGGAAAGTAAAGGCGGCCAGCGTGATGCTGACCACATCTCCCATCTTGTGCCGATTGGTCTATAAAAATATAGGTCTAGCCCTGTATGCCTTTTACGCCTAAAGGCGTAGAAAAGGGTCCTTTACTTTACTTTTTTTTTACTTATGTCAAATGGTTATGAAACTATGACTTTTTTTTTTACACACTAAATATGTGGTATTTGGGAAAGTGCAAAGGTGAATGGGTTTGGTAGTCAATGGGTTAAATATTTGTCTACACACAGTACATCAGGTGTGACATTTAGGATGCGGCATACAGTAAATTAAACATTTCAACTTCAGAGGTTATTGTAATTTCTTTTTGACAAAACTTCAGCAGTTTCATCATCTCTAGGCTCGATGTAGTGTTGGAATCATGAAAAATAATTAGTTACTCGACAGATTATCCATCTAACCATTCAGTACTTTGATGCCCTCTTCACTTAATCCTAAAGTATGTCTTGCAGTCTGTTCATAGTTGCAGATCCAGATATAATGTGGCTCTCGCAAATGTCTTACTTTTTCTAAAGTATTCAGTATATCAGCCTGGCCCACGGCTCATCTGCCTTCCACAGTGTGCTCATTTCCTTGTACAGCCGTGTGTCTTGACATTAAAATACAACTGATCTTTGTTAGCCATGACAACCTCGGAGACACCAATCACTGTCTTTGGGCGCAGGCTATCTCTAATTTTCTGAGCACATTCATTGAATAACTGAGAAAGCATGCCTGAATGGTCTGTGTCTCCAACAGCAATTCAAGTGATAGCTATACTGAAAAGAAATATCCTATCCTCTTTTTGTGGCTGTTGACACATAAGGCATTCACATCCTGATCTCCATTGCTGCCGGTCTGCTGCTTTTCTGCCCATGGTATCCCATGTCAGTTTACATTCCTTCATTTCCTGTTCTCTTTTCCTTTCTCCAGGTTTCCTTAGGTCATCAATGTCTCCTTTTCCCATCTGCTGTCCACCGGAGAGCTGTTTTTGCCAGTGTCACAAGGCATTCTGCAAACATGTCCAAGCCATCTCCATAGTCTTACTTTGATAACATTTGCCAGTGATGCACATTTTGTTTTCTGCCTCAGTTCCTTATTTGTGATCTCGTTTGGCCAAAATTTTCGTAGAATTCTCCTTAAACATTTATTTTGAAAAGTCAAGTTTATGTGTAATTCTCGCTGTCATTTTCCAACATTCACTGTTGTTTAAAAGTATTCCTAAAATGTTGCTCTTGTATATTCTGAGTTTTGTCTTCAAACTAAATCCCTTCGACTTCCATATATTGTTAAGCATGGCAAATGCTTGATTTGCTTTGTTTATTCTTGATGTTACATACTTTTCAGAATCTCCATCTGGAGTAACTTTACTTCCGAGGTATTTAATTCTTCAACTTCCTCTACTGTTTCATCATTTAAGATAATTAGATTTTCTGTTTTGAAATTATTTCTCATTACTTTAGTGTTTATTCTGAGTCCTATCTTAAGGGCTGGTGTTGAAAGCCTTTCAATCTTTTCCTGACCGTCCACATGATGGCTTGATAAAAGACTGTTGTCATCTGCCTAGTCCAAATCCACTAAAACAGAGGTGAGTGACCACCTGATGCCTCTTTTTTTATCTCGTGTAACTTTCTACATCAGCCAGTCAAGGACCAAAATTAATAAAAAGGGGGATAGTGTGCATCCCTGTCTGACTCCTATGTTGACAAAGAAACTTTCTGTTGTATAATTATCACACACAAAAATTTACATTATGCATAATTTCTTTCTTTCCCTCACAGACAGAATAAATAGTCAGTTTATTACACATGCCTGAATTTCAAGAAAATTCCCAACATATACTTTGTAGAGTCAGAGTGATTGAGTGGGTGTGGTTTTTTTTTTTTTTTAACATAAAAAATATATCTGCTTACCTTAGATCAGCTGAAAACTTCAAATGTCTTTGCTTATGTCTTTGCAATCTAGTCCAAGTTTCTCCAACAATGCTGGCTTTAGATTTTCTTTGTTTCTTTTTCCGGCGTCGAGAACAGTCTACAGACTCAAACTTGGAACTAAGATTATCGTCATTAGACCGCAGTCTATTTTCAGGAAGGTTTTCTTTCACGAATGAAGCTAGCCAGGTTTTCCTAGCACCAGAACCCTATAAATATTGAGGTCTATTTGTATATACATTCAAATATATAGGTATACATTTATGTATGTGTACCTGAAGTGATTGGGAGGCAAGGTAGCATAGTGAAGATTATTGCAAGTCAGCCCAAAGGTCCTGGATTCTAGATCCACATTAAGTTGCATTTTTTCCCCCAAAACTCACCTTGGCTCAAAACCAAAACTGGGCTTCATGTAATGTCCTAGGAAGTAAAGGCGACTGCCATGATGTTAAATAAGTTATCCATATTATGCCAACTCGTCTATGAAGTTACATGTCTAGTACCACATGCCCGGTGCATCATAAAGTATAATTTTACTTTCTAATATTTGTCTGCAAGAATCTAGGCAGCTCAATTAAAAGCACATTTTCATTACCAATATTTCATTTCTCATTTATTTAAAAATTGCATTCACAAAATAAAATAAAAGAAAATATCCAACGAAAAGACTGTGAACAGTGGCTTCTAGTTGTGAAATTTTAAAATGTGTGAACCCAAATACTGATGCAGAGAGATCTCATTCCATGAAAAACATGGGCATAACATTTGACAGATGCTTAGCATTTTTTTTAAAACGTAGACCACATTATAACCAAAGCCAAGAAAGGTCTCTCCGCAATAAAAGTTATGAGAGCTGCAAACTTTGAGTTGAGCTGAGCTGAGTCAAGAATTGATATCACAGCACTCGCGGCATTCCCATGCATGCTCCATCCTCATCTTCAGCAGCCAGTGCAGAGTTCCAATACTGATGCTACCGGTCACAATCTGGTAAATGTCCGTCTTGTCTTTCGTTTGAGTGTAGAGAGCCAGCCAGACCCTCTGGTTACACTCAGGCGTTTCATTCTCTCCAGGCCATAATAATCTTCTTTCTCTACTAATTCCGTTGCTTGTTCCCAAAGAGCCTTGACCACATCTGCCTTGTCATGTATCAATTCACCACCCAGTGGTGCGGATCCAGCCAATCTGTCTGCCTGTTCATTACCCAACACGCTGGCATGGCCTGGAGAAAAGATCCAAAGTATGCTCACTACCAGTGACCTTTCCAGTGAAGCTTGTCACTCTGTTCAAAGCATCTTTGTCTTCATCTTTTTTCAGCATGCTTTCAGTCTATTATAATTACGACATGTTCTCTAGCCACCTGAGAGCTGCAGTTACCGCCTCCACCTCCATTCTCATGCTAGATGCTGTGGTGTCAAATGCTAGGCTGTCTTGCACTAAAGATTTTCCATTGGCTTTCGCAACGAACCCCCAGGCACTTCTCTTTCCTTTCAAGAGTAACCATCTGTCGCGTGCGAATGTGCACCAGAACGCACCAGTACGGAGTGAGCAAATAAGACGTCAAAACAATACGTAACGTTGTTATGATTTATTGTTGTCAAAGCAGTTGATGTTTTTAGTCCGAAGGAGACGGACGTGGGAATCCTTGAGGACGCTTTACCCCGGGATCCCACGGAAGCAAACGTTATTAAAGTTGGATCCTTGAGGACGTTTTACCCCGGGACTCCAAGACCTCAGCAGGAAGCTGGTGAGCACTACATTCTCGGCAGCAAGCCGGTATACTTTCATTGCTTAATTCGGACTTGTTCGAGGACCAAGATGATTGTCATGATCTCAAGGTCGGACTGCGACCTATCGTAAGGACATATCCATCCATGGATGTACGAGTGAGCTTTGGTTGAACGAGTTGATTATTGATTGCATACGTATTCTTGTGTTGATCATTGCTGATTGTATATATCAATACAACCATTGGAACTTAACGCATAGCGTTCGAGCTCTACATTTTGAAAGCATTGAAGTAACTACTGTTTTACCCCTACTTGGCCTATTTCATCTTGGTACCACACACATCAGCATGAAGCTCTGCACGTCCCAATGAAGGTCCGCACGTATCAATGGGGGCCAGCCTTTAAAGAATGAGGGACCTCTCGTCACAAGTGTGATACGACATTTTGTCGCATTGTTGTGCCTCAAGTTGTACACGAAGCACATTCCAATTGTCACAGTCTTTACCAATCTCTAGCTGTGGATATCGTTCAATGTATCAAGTCGCCGCCGCCGGTCTGTTCTAGCCATCGTTGGATCTTCATCGGGACCATATCATTCTTCGTTCGTTGGATCTTCATCGGGACCGTATCATTCTTCTTCGTTGGATCTTCATCGGGACAGTAGCACTCTTCGTTGGATCTCCGTATCATACTTCGCTGGATCTTCATCATAATCAAGTCACCGTTACTGACTGTGCCACTTTCCGTGGGATTGAATCGGATCAAGTCGTCCTTTTGGCTGTACATTGATCTGCTACTTGCCGTTGTACCGGTCGTTATTTTAGCGATTTTTCATCGCTAACATTGCAGTGTGTTGTTTGTCTGCCACCCAATTGGTAAGTCAATTGTGGTTGTTGTGGTTTCTGTTGCGCTGACAATTTTAACTCTTTCCTCCAGAGAACAGACCTGGTTTTCCCGTGCGCAAGTGGAGAGCGACATTAATTGTTACGTGTTATCAAGTAAGCGGGAGGTTGGGCGGTGAGAGCCTTATTCGATATTTCAACTAGCTCACCACTAGAGTGTCATATCGTCTTTGGCTCTGTCTGTAGCCAACTTCAACCCTCGGAGTGGTCCCCATTATAACAGGGAGATAGTTTATCTATTCGCGACTCGGTGGATTGATTTAGGCTAAAGTGTCTTAGTCCGGTCTCGTCACGTCCTGTACGTTTAGTTTGTAATAGTGCTACCTGGTGTTCTTTCGACGATTGTCCCTTCTCTATCTGTTAGTTCCATTGGTGTATTTGTGGAGTCATTTTTTTTATTATCGTCTGTCAGACTCGTCGCATTGTACGTGTGTGACAGTACGCAGTATTCGTTGTCCTGTGGCGTCACTTCACCACACACTATCATATATATCATATATTGTATATTGATTGTCATATTATTTAAATATGTCTACATTTGCTGAGTTTTTGGAGTTAGGTCGAAGTATAGGCCTAGAAAATGGACAACTCTTAGCTTTCGCCGAAGCCAGAATGAAAGAGTTGTCGGACAGAGATAACCAGTTACGCGATGAGAGAACAGCGGAACGCGCCTGGAAAAAAGAAATGGAGTTGGAGAAATTACGCATGGAAAAAGAAGCTGAGGCTGAGAAACTACGCTGGGAAAAAGAAGCTATGGCGGAGAGACTGCGTTTCGAAATGGAGACTAATTTGGAAAGGTTACGTTTGGAGAACGAATTAGAACTAGCGCGTATAGATAGAGACAAGGTTGTTGCTGTGTCAGAATCAGAGAGCCGTCGTCTTGTGACTAGTAGCCGTTCGGGTTCCGAACAAGGGGCATGTGTATACATACCCAAATTACCGTTTCTTACACCTACAGAAGATCTTCATAATTTTTTGGATCGCTTCTCTTTAGCGATGAATACCGCTAAGATACCAGAGGAACAATGGGTGTCTCGTTTAAGGGATTTGCTAACGGGACCAGTTTTGAACACGTTCACGAACTTATCAGAAGACGAACGCGCGTCGTTCGAAATAGTCAAACAAAAACTGCTGGCGTCGAAGTGCATGACCGAAGAAGGTTACCGTGTGCAGTTTAAATCTGTTGTGCCATCCGTCGATGGAAGTTTCGCTGATTTTGTGGCCCGCGTTAGAACGTTGTTTACGCGTTGGGTGACATTGGCAGATGTTAAAAATTCTTATGATAAGTTGGCTGATCTCATTATTCGAGATAAAATTTTGTCATCATGTAGTTCGGAGATGTTCTCATTTTTTCAAGAAAGGAAACCGAAATCAGTTGAGGAGATGACAACATTGGGAGAACAGTATGTCACTGCACATCCTGGTAAACCATTGCACAACCCCAGGTTCGAGGACATACTCCCAGCTGCATCCAGTATTAGGGTGCACCACAACGCCTCGTCAAATCGGCCCGGGTGGAACAAATGCCATAATAGGCAGGGGCGCTATCGCAGCCACAGCGAACAGAGACAACCACCCCCATAGAGATCAAACGTCCAAAAAGCAGGGTGAACATTATCAACCCCGTTCATCTGCTTGTTCAATCTGTCTTTCGTGGAGACACAAAAGTCCCGATTGTCCCCACAAGCGACACAGGAAAGATGATGATGATGGTCCATCTTCACGAGGTAGGTTTCAACGCAACACAGGTCCTATAAGGTGCTATGTATGCCGTGGTTTTCCATAAACGTTCTGAGTGCCCAAGGGTTATGAACAGTCATGCTAATTCCGCGCAAACAGTAAACGCAGCGATGTCACAAAAAGTGACAAATTTAGCGGACGGTCAGGTTCGAATCCATCCAGAAATTGTTTACCCAGCGTTGTCAGCTGTACCACTGGAGGCTGGTTTGCCTTTGCATAATGGTTATGTTGGAAACATAAAATCTAAAGTATTACGTGACACGGGTGCCAATGTTATAGGAGTGGCTAGATACCTAATCCCCAAATCGGCATACTTAGGTCGGTATTGCAAGTGTCGTACTTTTGGTGGTCGTTTAGAAAGATTTCCTTTAGCAAAAGTCTATTTAAATAACCCGTATTTTCAAGGGGTTGCCGAAGTGTGTGTTTTGGAGAGACCATCAGCAGACGTACTCCTTGGATCAGTTCCAGGAGCAAAGATGCCCTCGCGTGAGGAAATCGAACGCTGGTATAAAGAAAATGAGGGTGTGACTGAAGCTAATGCTGCAGTTACACGCGCTCAACAGAGAGTAAGTAACGAGGAAGCCACACCTGCGTTACAGTCAGCTACTTCGAACGAAAACCAAATAGCTATCACATGTGGGATAGCTAGCGAAGAAGCAGTAAAGAATGAACCAGAACGACCAAAAAGTGCCTGGAAACGAACCACACGCACCGAAAACAAACAGTTTTGCGATACAACAACGGGCGGATCCTACACTCACTAAATGCTTTTCTAGGGCAGAAGTAACCGGTGTTAGAACATGTAAGCAAGGTACATGGCATTTTTATGTGAAGAATGGA